ATTTAAGATAAAAAATTTTAAACTTAAACAGAAAATGGCCGAAACCGGTTTGGCTCAGTGGATAGAGCGTCGGCCTGCGGACTGAAAGGTCCCAGGTTCGATTCTGGTCAAGGGCATGTACCTGGGTTGCAGGCACATCCCCAGTGGGGGATGTGCAGGAGGCAGCTGATTGATGTTTCTCTCTCAACGATGTTTCTAGCTCTCTATCTCTCTCCCTTCCCCAGGACAAAATATTTAAGATAAAAAATTTTAAACTTAAACAGAAAATGACTATAATTGGATATAATCTATGTCAATGTCAACACTATTATTTATTCTATAAATAAACTTTAATTTGCAAAGGCTCATTTATATAGCTTTTATTTTACTTTTTAAATGTATCTTTATTGTTGAAAGTATTACAGAGGTTCCCCCTTTTTTCCCCACTGACCCTTTCTCTCCTCCACGCCCCCCCCCCCAAGGTCTTTACACTATTATCTATGTCCAGGAGTTATGCGTATACCCATATAAGTTCTTTGGTAAATCTCTCCCCACCCACCCTTCCATCCCTTAATCTTATAGATTTTAGGGAAGGATCATGCAGGGTGGTACATGTAAGGTGAAACTTTGATGCTATTTACCAAGTTGAAGAATAATGGAAAGATAATTGGACTGTTTTTGTGTTTCTCAATGTGTGTATGAAGAAGCTTTGCTCCTTCAGGTCAAGAATACAGAACCTTCTCTTCATGTAGATTTAACTGCTTTATAAACAAACAAACAGGGTTTTTTTGGAATCAACAAAGAATTTTTGAATGTATACTTTGAGCGATACATCTTAAAGACACTACATTGAACAACTTAAAAAGGTGAAACCCTAACATGTGATAAGGATTTATTTATGACATAGACTCTCCTTGAGAAAAATAAACATTTTTTGTGCCATTGATATTTATAATTCTCACAAACATCCTAATTATCAAACTGTATCCCTGCAAGACAACCATTGGGAGGAGAGCTTTAAAGAAAATTGAAGAAGGGTTCAATAGGGGGAAAACAGGTCATATGTAAAACTTTTAACAATAAAGATTTTTAAAAATAAAGAAAATTGAGGGAAAGCACAGCAGGGCTTTTAGCTGCACAGGAGCCTTTCCAAGGTCAAACAGCCAGAACGGACTCTCAATAATTGAATTTTCCATTCGGTTCATAAGCATGACACTTGGGGGCTTTTAACATCAAAGCATTACCCAGTTGCAGAAAATAACTGTTCAAACAACAACAAACGAGGTCAGAAGGATCATCAGATTTATTGCCAATGTGGAAAAAGACACACGATTTTCAGAGATGCCTTAATTAATAAAAAGGAAGGTAATTCTTTGAAAGCCCAGCGGTGGAGAGTAATTCACCAATAAGCTTGACTTTTCCCTGCCCACACTTTTAGCCCTTATTAAAAGCTGAACTGCTTTAGAATAGTACATCTAGCAGACTTGGTTTTGCTAATCCACCCAATTAATGGAAGCCTGTTCAGCACAGCATTCTTTATTACTTCTTAATCTTTTTTATTTCTTTTGCCTCCTCCCTTCAACAGAACATGTTTCAGCACCAGCCCTGAGTCTGTTCCCTCCTCAACCACTCAATAAAGGCCTGGAAGGTGACAGTCAAGTTTACTCCCTGCCAGGCCAAGCATAAAAACATAATCTTGGGAAGTGATGTAGAACTCGAGAAACAAGAGTGGAACCGACAGTGCCCATCCTCAGTCCCAAACGGGCTACCCCAGCACCAGCAGAGATGCTCTGAAGGCTTCTCATCTGGTGCAAGAGATCCATTCAAAGGCAGGACACAGGCACGCCATCCATCTATCTACCCATCCAACAAAAACCTACTAAACTCCTACATTTGACCTGGCTCAAGAGAGTCAGACTGAAATAGTTTCTGCTCTCACAAAGCTTCCTTTTTCTACCTCTTCTTCCTTTCCATCAATCTTACCAGGTTACGTTTTCTGTTGAACAACACCAGGATTAATTTGTACATCCATTCACTAGGAATTAGACCTAAATCCCTTGGCTATTCCATGTAAGCCACCAGCTAGACATCAGCCCAGTAACTGGCCGCACTCCAAATTTAACACACAGGTGGCCTCAGGGTAAGGACTTGGATGCCCATTTTCAGAAATAGCTATCAGAAGGAAGTCAGTCATGTCTGACCTCACATCTACTGGAAACTATTAACAGTTGGGGCAATTTTTTTCTTTGTGAGCTCCATAAGTAGACTTATGGTTACAAATAGCTTCACTTGTAACAAGATGTGCTGAGCCCAGAGGGAAGATTGCAGGAGGTTTCAGGCCTAGACTGCTTGAATAGGACATTGAGAAAATGACTACCTTACTGTATCCATTCAGTCCATTAAGGGGATAAGAAAATATATGACCAAAATATTGAAAAAGATGGACTAGAATGAAAAAACCCATGAGGTTAAGTGTGAGGAGCTGGAACGCACTTGAATTGAATTCTCAGTTCCAGCGCTAAATGCCTTTATGAACAATGTTTTAAGCCTCTAAATATGTTCAAACTTCCATTTTAGTTTCCTCTTTTGAAAGATTAGACATAATAATTGCACAAACATCCTAAAATGATTATGAAGATAAAATGAAATAATTTACATTAAGCGTTAGTGCCCAATAAAGATTAAAAAACAAAACAAACAAAAACACCTACCACCCATAGTAAAATTTCCTTTATAAGAAATAAGGTCATATAAGTTTTATTCTAATCTTCTTTACTAAGATATTGTAAAGATCAGTAGAATAAATAAGAGGAAAAATACTTTGAATTCCTTCAAAACCTGTAGTATATGTTTATAAAACATTATCAGTATTACAGAAGCAAATTTATTAGTAGTACATCCAGATGAATGTTGGGGCTCTGGCCACTGGTTTCATTACCCCAATTCATTGGCCTATAAACCACTAGTTCACCTGATGGACAGGTAAGCACAGCATGACAGGGGATGAGAGATGGCAGGGGAAGGAGGGATAGACACCATAAATAGCAACATGACTCTCAATATAACACCACAAGGATTCTCAAGTTCTGTGCTTATGCCTTACTTATACAGTAAAACTCTATTTTTCTTTCTTTCTTTTTTTTGTATACTCAAAGCAGCAAAAATCCTAGAAATACCTTTCAACCTTAGGACTTCAACCTTGCACACAAATAACTGTGCAGGACACTGAACTGAGCTCCACACATGGAGACTGAAGCCACGATAAGGAAGGCAGCTGCTAGGGTTGCACTGAAGTCTTTTAACAATCTTTGAAAAGAAACCACAAAAGAAAGAAAGGAAACTTTCTGTGTCTGTATAGACTTCATCTCTTCAGAACTAAACCTCATTTCCCAGGGCGATTGTGAGAGGGTGATAATTAGGATTAGCTACAAGGTGGCTATCTGCCAACTCTGTCTCATATCAGCCTTCAGTTACTCCCATCTATCTCACCATCCCTGTTTTCAGCAGCTGAAAATGAGACAAGAGCCTGAGAAACTAGAGAGCAGACCATCTTAGATTCAGATATTCACCTTCATGAGGATCAATCACAAATTTTGAGTGATCACTGGTGAGAAAGTGACAAGTGATCAATCTCTTTAGCTGATCACTAATGACCTTTCATTAGGTACAGATATCTGGAATGAAAAGTTTCAAAAAGTTATGTATCTCAGTCTATGGAAAGGGCCATTCTTTTTATAAGAGAAAAGAGCTTCTAATGAAGTATCATCAAGTAATAAATGGTTTAGAAAATATTTTTCAATTGATCTCTTAAATTTAGCTCACTATTTCCCTAAAATATGATAGATATCCCAAGACTCCTATATCATAAAACCCTAATATGCAAATCGACCAAATGGTAAAACGACTGGCCACTATGACAAGCACTGACCATCAGGGGGCAGACGCTCAATGCAGGAGCTACCCCCTGGTGGTCAGTGTGCTCCCACAGGGGGAGCACTGCTCAGCCAGAAGCTGGGCTCACAGCTGATGAGCACAGCAGTAGTGGCAGGAGCCTCTCCCACCTCCGAGGCAGCGCTAAGGAGCAGTCAGCCTGGCTCACGGCCGGTGAGTGCAGTGGTGGTGGTGGAAGCCTTGCCAGCGTAGGCCTGCTCAGCGGCCCTAGGCCAGCAGGCGGATATCCACTGAGGGGTCCCAGACTGTGAGAGGGAGCAGGCCAGGCTGAGGACCACCCCTCCCCCCCACCCGAGTGCATGAATTTCATGCACCAGGCCTCTAGTATTTTATGAAAGACATGAATGAAATTTTATAAAATGGTTACATATTAATTTTAACATTATAGAAAAAAGTATAATTATACATTAAGCCCATGATTTCACAACTATTGTTTATTAGGATGAGGGCACAGTAAAATAGGAAGTTGATTCAAAGTAAATAACAGGGCAGGTGCTTTCACATATGGCAGAAACATACAGAAATAGCACAGGAATGACTCAGGCTGAGAAACACTGCTTCTACCCCATAGGCCAATGATTCCTATCATAACTAAGAAAGAGTTCCCACTCCTGCTTCTGTGGGCTAACAGAATAGCTGAACTCATCCTTTTTGATGCATTATGAGACCTGGACTATGAGCTTTACATATTTCACGAACTGTTTTAGAAGAGCAGACAAGAACAGGGGTGCATTCGATTATGATCATGCTTAGGCAGGAGACAAAAGGATCCGTGGACAATGAAGCACTTTTATGGAAGCAAGTCAACAAAAAGATTTAAAAGTTTACCTTTTGTAGAGAGAATGGGGCCAGGTTTTTCAAATCAAAGGTGCTCCTAACAAAATATATACTGCTCCTGGGATTGGGTAATATGTTCTCTTCATCTTTGAATGTCCTAAGTATCCCCATAATAGGTGCTTAACAAATGGAATAAATAACCACCCATATCTTTATGAAATTAAAAAATGATATCATCAACAAAACTTAACATCTAGGAGAAAGGAAATGGTACCTTTTGGAATGACACGTACCTTGGGCACAATCTTCACGTGGAACAGTATATTTTGGAAAGAGTATCCATCATTGGCTTGCAAGACTGCAACATCAGATGTGCTATCCAAACCATCGTGAGCGTAGTAGAGAAGGCCCCTGGAGACTTCATCCAGCCGGAACTGATAGACAGGGGTTGCAGGGGACTGAAGTGTTTGAAGCAATTGGCCATGAAGTGGAGGATCCAGCACTTCAACTATCACATCCTGTGGATTGTCATCATCTCGGATGTCAAGCAGCTGGGTGGTGATGGTTCCCCTCTCTCCTCTGCTAATGTGGAGAGCCTCATTTCTCAGTACATAGGGGGGCTGTGGAATGAAGGAGAAGAAGAGAAAGAAAGCATTGAGCAGGAAAAGAGAGGACCACCCAGTGGGCTAGATATCAGTTGTGTGCAACTTAATTGATATTTTGATGCTTTTTACAGAACTCTAGATGTTCTGGCAAAGTGCCAAACTATTGCGTATTCACAGTATTTGTCAAAGATAGGATTGGTCATAGGAATCACAGCAAATAAGGTTCACATCTCTGATTCTGGAGGCATCTCTAGCCACTTCAGGACTACAGCATTCATCAGAGGCCACCAAGGACAACTGCTCGCTTCTAAATCTTTGAAGTCTCTGCTGTCTTGAGTTATACCACATCCCCTTCACTGTAACTGTGATCAGATCAGGGTCAGGCAACCCGGTCAGTTGTCTGCATCCAAGAGATGATAAAAGACGTATGGAATTTTTGCATTTGTGTTGGCAGTTGAGAACTTCATTCCAGTCCATGTTGCAGCATGCTGACTTTGAGTAAGATAATTTTGCATTCTGAATTCATGCTATTTCTGGTCCCTCCCAGTAATTTTCTTCAAGCTGTTTCATTCATATCTTGAAGGGACCCAACCCAGCTCAGGTTATAAATCCTGACAAGATCCTGATCTGAGTAAGGCAAGCACCTGGTTAATTCAAGTGGCACTGCTCATATAGCAAATTTTAATATGTTTCCTTAGGACTATCAGGTGTGCTCTTACCAACTTGAGTAAGCAGATAAAATGTTCCTTCACAAAGATAAAAGTTAATGAACCGTAATAGAAAAAATCCCTGAAAAAAAATATATATCAAGGCCAGAAGCCAAAAAAAACATTCTCTCAGTTTTTTATATCCTCTGAAGTTGAACCATCTAGGACTTTTCTCAGCACATTGCCTTCTTTAATCCAAATGGCTTTCTTTTAAAACTAGCCCTCCTGACCTCCTGGGAATTTCAATATCTATTAGAGTAATGTCTAATGAATGCATGATTATAATAATCACATAATGGGAAACTAGAAAATAGCTACTGAGAATTCCCAAGTGAAAACTCAAAGCTGTGATTCTACACATGGGAATGAAAGGCCTCTTGGATTCTAAAGAGAGAAGTCAAAGGTGATATCAAAATCCATAAATGGAAAAGATTGACTTAACTTACATGAGAAAAGGCCATGGAGCCTCAAGACCATGTTCAAATATCACAGAAATGTAAAGGAACAAAAATAAGTTAAAATTCATTTCTAAAATCCCATTTTTGAAAAGTTAAAATGATAAAAGTTTCTCATAAATAAAATAAAAATGTGCCCTCACTATCTACTCACTTGATTTCAGGAAAACAAAAAGTATCAGGGAACCATCAGAACTCACCATCTCGGTGAGAAAGCCACTTGCTTACACCTACACTAGGCCTTTTATTCACATGTTTAGCGTAACTATATCACACAAACAAAAAGAACAAAACAAAACTCCTAAGCTTAAGTACTGAAAAACATCTAAGTCAATAAGTCCTGAGGCTTGATGTCACCCTCTGGCCCATATTTACAGAGATCACATTTTAGCTACAATTAAAACAAAATTCATATTCTTAGCTCAACTCTGAGATCAAATTAATTTAGGACCAATTTCTAATCATTCCTTAATTTCAGTCATCCCTGACGTGAGAATGCCATCAAGAAGAGCTGAGCTGGGCTGCTCATATCATTTGGCAGCCGCTTCTGGTTCACAGTCTACAGTCCTTTCATTTTTGGACCAAAGATATAAAAATATCAGTTTAAAAACAATGACCTCATGTCCTTCCTTGAATCATGTCTAATACGCTCCTGAGATCTGGATATTTAGGTAGCCTTGGCTCCTCATGATGTCCCTTTCTCTTGCCATTCACAACTTAAGAGTATATCTATCTTCCTGCTCTCTTTGCACATTTCAGCTGTTCAAATTCTCAAGCCCAATTACTCAGAGTTTCTACCACTATATGTATTCTGCACACATAAGTACAACTTGACAGAGATGAGTGATGAGAAGAGAAGAATCATCACACTGAGTTTTACAACAGCTACCATGATTTCCTCAGACCAGTGCTTGGCTGATGACCACAGTGGCACAACATTTAAGAATATCCTTAATAAGATCATCTAACTTCTGCCAACTAAGATAAATGCAGTCTGGCTGCATAGTAGATAAGGCAAAAGTAGCCAACATAATCCCATACCCATGAGAGAGAAAGATTTACAAAACTAACTCATCTAAGAATAAGGAAAGTCTTAAGAACTAGAACCACTTCAAATTATTATGATGGACTAGTTTCCGATTCAGTATAGCAAAAGATGGCACCATAATCTAATGATCAAGAACATAGAATCTGCATTCAGAGTTAATGAGCACAGATCTTGGCTCTCTATTAATCAGGTGTATCACCATAGACAAGTTACTTAAGCTCCTTGTGACTTAGAGTTCTCACTTGTAAATTGGGGATAATAATACCTCATGGGGATGGCATGAGGATTAAATGAGAAACACTACAAAGAGTATTGCAGATGTATTAGTAATGGTTGCTGCTATTGTTATTGCCTAGAAGCATTAAAAAATTATTTCAGAGAAAACTGAGACAAGATTAATTCAGCTCATTCATTTATCTACAACTACAAGAAATCTTTATTGGTGCTTGAGAATTGGTAGACACATAAAATTATTAATAGTGTGGCATTTTTATTACCTGTGTTGAAAATGCTTGTATATTGATCAGCTGTGGCTCAGAGAAGAACTGCTGGTCACTAATTTTCAGGGAAAAGTAACCTTTCCTAAAAGAAATTCCAAAGAAGAAATGAGAAAATGCAACCATTAAATTAGTCATTAGAATGACAATGATTAAAAACATTTCCAGGCTATGAAATGGATGAATTTGGATCAAACCACTACAGTGATATAAAATTCATACTATAAATAATAATGACCAGATAAATATGAACCTAGTGAAATGCAGACAAAACTATTGTGTGTTCTTAGATCTCATTATAACAATTATATAATTTTTCCCTATTTTTCTAAATTGAATCTATAAAAGGTTGAAAATCAGTTTTGGGGCCAAGAAAGGTTAGTAATATATTGTAGGCTAATGGTAAATAAAACTAAAGAATGAAAAAGGAATCTTTCAAAACCTTTGAGTAGATCTCAATGAGTCCCTAGTCCCTGCAAATCCTCTTGCCACGTCCTACCCAATTCATATGAGTGGGTCCCAAATAACAATATTTGCAATGCTTTCATTACATAACTCTAGCCACCTCCCTGTCCAGCCACACACATGCAACATTTAATGTAGACTTGACTAGGGAAGGATGTCTGATTATTGACTATTGGGAAACCATAGTGTGGATGAGGATGTGGAGGAAGCCGGTTTGTAGGAGAGAGGTCAATGAAGCCTATGAGCCAAGACACAGAGACAAGAGAAAGAACCGAGTACTGCTTCCTGGTCCTGGTTCTAGCTTCCAGGCTGGCCCTGGGGCCCATTGCCCTTAATGTGTTTGAGATCTAGGCCACACCTGCAATGTTACAACACACCTTACTATTTCCTTAATCTAGTTCAAGTTGACTTCCTTTACTTACAACCAAAGAATCCTAATTAAGAAAACAAAATAAGGCTCACTCTTTGTTGTGGTTTGTACTTCTCATAAAGAGTGTTGTTTCAACAGCTTCAGAGACTACTAGAAGGAAAGGTGGGAGTTGCCCGCTTCAAGCCAAACCAAGCACAGAACTCACTGTGGCCTGATAAGACATAATTAATGTATATGAGAGGTTTGAATCCTGGTCTATGGTAGGACCACTGTTTTCAAAGTTCTTTAAAAGGTATTCTTGGAATTAACTATCAATACATGAAAGAATGTGGATGGATCTCAAAAGCATTACGGCAAAAGCCAGAAACAAAAGATTACATACTTGCTGATTCCATTCACATGACATTTCAAAAAGGGCAAAACTACAAGGGTGAAAACAGATCAGTGTTTACCAGGAACTGGGGAAGGTAGTGACTGTAAATGGAGTTTTGGGGGTTTTATGCCTTGAATGTGGTTGTGTTCTCAAGACTGAAAGACAGTATACATTTGTTAACACTCATAGAACAGTAATTTAAAATAGGAAATTTTATTAAATGCAAACTGTACCTCAGAAAACTTAATTTAAAAAAGTTTGCTGTATTCCCTCCAATTTTATTTTTCCCTTCATTTTCTGCCCCATTTAAATCCTGCTCCTCTCCATCCCCACTTGCAGCTTTCAAGAGAATACAAATAATGGGCTAGTTACTCCCAACCTACTGGGGGAAAATGAATTTTTGTTGGCAGTGAGCTTCCAATAACTGTGCTCAGCATCTCAGCAATGGAGCTTATCTCGTCTCCTATGACTATATTTACAATCTGTCTCGTACTCCACAGGAGCATTCCAACCCTAGAGGAATGCAATCCTAAAGAATTCCAGTCCTAAAGAATCAGGGTCAGTGTTTGCACGGGGGAAAACAAAACCACAAACCTGTGTGGCAGGTTGTGTCTTTTGTTTTTGTATCATTCGGATACATACCATTTCCTTTTTTCATGAGTTTCTGCCAAGCCTGTTTCTTTTACTATTCCTCTTATTCTTTCTTTTGTTTAAATTTTTAGATAAAGAAAATCCAATGTTAAATGTGTACCCCAAAAAGGTGCTAAAAATTCCCTAAAAATAGTTGCCATTCATTGTCCTGTTTATGGGTACAAAGCTGACTCTGTGAGGAAATAGATGATGAGAGATTAAAAAGGTAAGCTTAGAGAAACAAGAGGGTTTTCACTTTGGTTGTCTTTGAAGCTTTAAGTACTTTATACACATTTCACAAGTGATTCCAAGACAAACAACTACAGGTGTGTGTGTGTGTGTGTGTGTGTGTGTGTGTGTATGAGATATGCAAACATTTAACTATACTTGCAGCAAAAGGAATGCAGGAGATGGAGCATGAGTTTGACAGGTGATTCTATAGCATCAAGTACTAGAGTTTTAAGCACCGTTTACAGCAATACTTCTGCATGCCCGCGGAGATGGAAGCATGCCCGTTATTCCTACTATTATTAAGACAGAAATCATAGTGGCTAAAGGCATGGGCTGTGGAATCAGAAAGCCTTGGGTTGGAGTCTGAGCTGTGCATCATAGGATGCAAGGCCTTGGGTAAGGTTACTTTATACTCTGAAGGCCTGGAGACTGGGAATACAAATAAACAGAATTTACATAAAGTAGTTAACACAGTGCCTGGCTAATAGCTAGTGTTCAGTGAATGTTACTTGTTCTTATTTCTATAAGAGTTTCTTTGCTCACCAGCTCTCAACTGCAAGTGGAGAAAGTGCCATTTACTTTTCTCCCCACCTATGTCCTAGCCCAAACCTTAAACAAAATCTCAAGTTTAGTGGTGACAGTAGAAAATATTCACTGTTTCCTTATCACTATTCCCTGGGTATCAACTCCTTGTTTACAAATAAACTAGTCTGAATTTCCTGCACTAATGAAGCAGAGCAGGGTGAAGGATAATCCAAGAGGCTAATCTTTGGGGTGCATTCTCTGATTTCTGCTTAGTGGAATTACTCTGCTAATTACATGGCTATATTTGCTTGGGTTAGTGTTAACATTCAATTGCATTCCTGAAGCATATGTCAGCTGGGGCGGGGAAGACAGCCAGAAGTATGCTAGACATCAGAGGAAAACTGGATCAGGCTTAAATATTAACCACAATTAATCCCATAAAGTGGATAATGGAAAGTAAACTGTGACTCTTTGTTTCCTTCCAACTCTGAAATTCTAAGACCCATACAACACCTTGCAAAGCGTGCACTCTATCCTCCAGCCACTCCCTCCTCCCAGTATATTACACTAATGTTGAAGAAGCAGCTGGAGCATCTGGGTATATAACTAGTTTTGTTTCTGCTGGGCCAGAAAGCTGGGTAATTGTACCAGGATCTTTCCTGTCACATCAGAGAATTACCCATAATTATGTGATAAAATGAAAATGCCTCTAACAGAAGCACACTCTCTGAGCAATTACAGGGAAATGATGACAGGCAGCTGAAAGCATTTGGCACTTGTGGAGTATGGATCTTTCTCAGAGGAGAAGGGGATAACTGTGGAGAAAAGGGGAGTTTGGGGGATGAGGGAGGTGCACAGCACTGGTGGAAAGGAGGCAGGAGGAAAACAATGGAACACGGAGTCACCTGGGCTTTTCTTTGCTGTGCACAAAGCGCACTTTTTTCTCATTCACATCCTTCCAGCTAAAATGGCCAGCCTTGTCGAGTTGCACCTCTTTCCCATTCCTCGAGAGCGCTAGCTGCCCGTTGGTGGGCGTGCTCACAACATGGAACAGGAGGTCTTCGACCCTGCCATCCTGGTCTTGGACGTTCAGGAGGGAAAAATCCAGTGGCTTCATTAAACCAATGGCCAGGGTGAGAGAACCATTCACATGAAGACCAGGAGTGTGTGTTCTGCCTGGAAAACATGGATCCAAAGGTCAGGCTTGGTAATTCACAAATTAGAGGTATGTGTGTATTTAAAGAAATAGGCTTGCAATATTCATTCAGAGAGCTACAAAGATGAGGCTCTAGGCTACTGTCCACCATAAGCTTCCTTCTAATCCAGTGGTTCTCACTGTGGATGCACAGGGAAAGAACACAGGCTCTTTTACAGGGGTGGGGAATGTCCAGCCTGAGGACCAAATACGAAATCATTTGGTCTGGCCCTGCCTAGGTATTAGGGGTGAGTTAATTAAATGTTTGACCAAATATCGCAGGCTAATTTTAAGTTAATTTTTTTATGGCCCACTAATGATGATATAAATATCCAAATGGCCCTTGGCAGAAAACAAGTTCCCCATCCCTGTGTTAAACTATAAAACTCCTAGAAGAAAATAAGGAGTAAATCTTTGTGAACTTGAATTAGGCAATGCTTTCTTAGCTATAACACAGAAAGCACATGTGACAAAAGAAAAAAATAGATATATTAGACATCATTAAAACTAAAAAAAAAAAAAAATGTTGTGCTTCACCAGGACACCAGCAAGAAAGTGAAAAGACAGCCCACAGAATGAGATAAAATATTTACAAGTCAGATATCCCTGAAACTGAACTTGAATCCAGAATATATAAAGGACTCTTCCAATGCAGTAAAGACAACCCAATTTTAAAATAAGCAAAGAATTTGAATAAGCATTTCCCCAAAGAAGGTATAAAAAGGCCAATAAGCACAACGAAAAGGTGCTCAACATCATTAACAATCAGGAAAATGCGAATTAAAACCACAAAATGATGCCACTTCACACCCACTAGGAATGATGGTAAAACCTGTTCCTGAGGATGTGGAGAAATTAAAACCCTCATATATTGCTGGTAGGAATGTAAAGCAGTGTAGCTACTTGGGAAAACAGTCTTGTAGTTCCTCAGATAATTAAATATAGAGCTACTATCATATGACCCACCAATTTTGCTCTTGGACATATCCTCAAGAGAATTAAAAACATATATCCATACAAAAACTTCTACACAAATGTTCATAGCAGCATTATTCATAATAGGTCAAAAGTGGAAACAAGCCAAATGTTCAACTGATGAAGGAATAAAAAGGTGGTATATCCACACAATGGAATATTATTCAAGCATAAAAAAAGAAATGGCATACTGATACATGTTACAAATGGAGAAACTTTGAAAACGTTATGCCAAGTGGAAGAAGCCAGACATTAAAGGCCACATATTGTATGACTCCATTTATGTGAAATGTCCAAAATAGGCAAATTCGTACAGACAGAAAGTAGATCAGTGGTAGCCAGCGGCTGTGGTGAGGGAGTGATGGGGGAAGACTCCTAATTGTTACTGAATTTCTCTTTAGGGTAAGTAAAGTGTATTGGAATTAGATAGTGGTGATGGATGCATAACTTTGTGAATATACTAAAAATATACGAAATATCGCTGCATTGTATACTTTAAAGGGTGAATTTTATGGTATTTTATGGTATGGAAATTATATTCAATAATAATAGCAATAAAGAATCACAACAATACTGATACTTGAGCTCCACCACCAGAGATCTTGACTTACATGTTCTGGGGTGGGCCCTTCATGATTTTACAAACTCTCAGGCAATCAATCCCAATAGGCGCCAGGGTTGAGAACCACAATCCTAAGACATCTGTCATATCTGGCCATCAGACCCACCAAGGGCAAGAAAAGAGGTAAGTGTTTAATACCAATGCTAGAATAGTACCAGTTAATCTCCATTGAAGTGGGATTATCAATGGCTTATATTAGAATTCATGTGAAATATACACACTTTGTTTAAAAGTTTTACAATCTTTGTCCACAGGAAACATCTGATGGATGAATTAGGATTTCTGACCATTCTGTCCCCTGCGAGTTGTTTTGCCTGGACTTGAAAGGTAGGCCAGACAGGACAGTTACCGATGCCAACTTTCAGGGGGACTTCTTCTATTGTAAGATTACTAACGAAGGTGAGAGTAATTCACATTCGCACATTGACTTGTATTACATCCTAAGAGGAACAAGCTGACTCTCAAGTACTTGTTGTTTCTAGAAGGATCCCAATAAAATAAGCCAAAGATACTTTTTCTCATGTGAAGTTTTAATATCTTTAGAGGTCAGAAATACAGAGATGGAAAATATGACCGACTGCATGCATTAAAGTATGCCTCCTGTTATTGATAAAGGGTACACAAAGCAAAGGAATGCTCAGCTATAACAGAACTCCCAAGTTTTATTCCCCTCTCAAACTTTTGAGGTTGAAAATTAAGACAATTTAAATTTGCTTCTCTTTGTTATATAAAGTGTTCATTGATATTTTGGACAAGACTAGCTCCACCCTTTTAACTTGTTACCTCATTCTTTTTTTAAAATATATTTTTATTGATTTCAGAGAGGAAGGGAGAGGGAGAGAGAGATAGAAACATCAATGATGAGAGCGAATTATTCATTGGCCGCCTCCTTCACGCCCCACACTGGGGATTGAGCCCTAACCCGGGCATGTGCCCTTGACCAGAATTAAACCTGGGACCCCTCAGTCCACAGGCCGATGCTCTATCCACTGAGCCAAACCAGCTAGGGCTGTTACCTCATTCTTAATGACAAACAATATGGCTTGAAATCTATTTGCTTCAAATGTATGAACCTAATGGGGCAAGCTCCTCACACTATTCATTATTTATTTATAAGTTATCTCCAGCATGTGCACAAAGGATGCACCATTGCATCCTGGCATTATCAGCTCTACAAGTTTATATAAATATAAATAAATTATATCTATATAAGTATATATGTAATTTTCTGCAACATAGTTGTAATTCAGGAACATAAGTAAGTTTTATGCCAAATTTCTGATCTGACAGTTGACTTTCTATTTATTTATTTATTTATTTATCCTCACCCGAGGATATTTTTCCATTGATTTTTAGAGAGAGTGGAAGGGAGAGAGAGAAACATGAATGTGAGAGACACAACGACTGGTTGCCTACCACACACGCCCAATGGGGGCTGAGGATTGAACCTGCAACTAAAGTACATGCCCTGGACCAGGAATCAAACCCAGGATCTTGGTCTGCAGGGCAACGCTCTAGCCACTGAGCAACCGGCAAGGGCACAGTTCACTTTTTAAAAAGATTGCTTCTTTTTCTTCTCTAAAAAGTTTAGAAGTTGAGTTTTCCCAAGCTCTCACGTTCTATAAAGATTTCCTTATTCCTAGTGGCACCGGTGTTTTCCCCAGGAATGGGAATCCTGCATTTTATACCACACGAGTCCACTGCATGTGCACACACAGCCTCTGCATGTAGAAACTGCAGGTGAACTCATCAGCCACCAGTGGAGAAGTACTTACCAGCACATGTTTCGTTAGATGAGTGGGCAGAGAAGCCAGGAACACAGTTGGAAACGCAAAGGCCACTTTTCAGAGAGAACCCATGGTCACAGCGGTGACACCGGCTTCTGTGGCTGCACTGCAAGCACCTCCGAGGGCAGGCTATTGAAGAGAGGACACACTAAATGATGCACAACAAAGGCACGGGCACCCAGCCAGGGCCACCGTGGTAAAGCAAAGAAGAGTGAGAGCACAAGCACACATGGCCGCCAACTGCAGCAAAAGAGAATTCCAACAGTCTCTTCCAGAATTTCACAGAGAGCTGATCAACCCTCGGAAGGGAAGTGATAGGGAGGAGCACTCTTGCCTTATACACTGTGATCTGAAAATGTTTCACATAAATGAATTGTTTAGAAAGTTAACCATATTGACTTGTAAGAGAGGCAGTTTATAATGATTAAGAGCATAGGCCCTTTCTGGGTACCGTTCCTCCGCTACCACTTACCAGCTGCCAAACATGGGTAAGTTCCTCTAACAATCTGTGGTGCAAGTTTCTTTTTTAAAAAATGGGGAAACTGATAGCACCTAATACAAATGATTGTTGGGAGGAATGCATGTGCTATGTACGTCGTGAGTAGAACAGTGCCTGGCACACAAAAGGGCTCAATCGCACTACAACTATCACTGCTACGCTCCTATTTTTTTTAATTATTAGTATTTTAAATGCAATAGGTGATCAAGCTATTTAAAGGACCATAGATGATTTCTTTGGGTCAAGTTAATAATCTAGAATTATTTTTCTGCTTCAGTAAAGAAGATTTTGTTAGAGAAATGCAGCACAGTACAGTTTAAAAGGCACTGGATTAGAACAAAACAACTTGGGTTTAATATTTTATTTTATGTTGCCCTGTTTAATACTCTTAGCCTCTTTGATTTTCCTGTGTGTGTGTGTGTGTGTGTGTGTGTGTGTTGTTATTTTTTTTTTTCACTTGCAAAACAGGATTCGTAGTGCCTGCCATATTTTACCAGGCCATTGTAAATATCAAATGATACAATGCTGATGAAGGAAATTTGGTGAAGTATAAAATGCTAAGCCTGGGTAATGGCATTACTATTAAATGTCAGGTGTTCATTAAAGTGGGGCAAACAGTACTAAGTTTTGACAGAAATGATGAGAACACACTAAGGAAACTCTCCTCCATAACTCAATAGACAAGGTAATTTAGACTCTGGGCTTAACTTTAGTTTCATAATAAAAGATTAATGTGTCTCACTAACGTATCTCCAGAAATTCTACTCTTCAAGGATATTATGGCAACTATCAGGATCACTGGTTATTTAGTCTACACACTGAAAATTCTATGCTCATATCTACAGGGCTGATCCACTCTTAATGGGTATACGTAAGCTTTACATTCCATAAAATATTGGCCTCATTTCCATAAAGACTGTTAGGGACAATATTGATTTGTGCAAGAGAATTATTGGCCTGCTCTTCTATATTCCATTTAACCAGCAATTGGCGGAGTGCATGGGAAGTCATCAATTGCTTAGGCCAAGCTCCCTGGGTTTTCATGCTACTTCTGATTCCAATTCTCCTTGGTTACCTGAGGATCAGCACACCTGAATAGCTTGCTCCTTTACGTTTTTCCAGAGAATTCAGCCTGGTTTCCAAGTTACCTGCACATTTGCGACTGGCATGATCTGCAAAGTATCCCTTCCCGCATTCCTGGACACACTGGGCTCCCAAGAGGAGAAATGGTTCCTCACAGCGAGTACACTCCTGGGGACCTTGACACTGGAGACAGTGGCTGTCACAGCCTGAAAGACAAGTCAAGTCGACAGGAATGTGTATGGCTTTCCCAGGGGCTCCTGGTCCTGACAGTGAGGCAGTGTTAGACATCAATGAGCGATATAACCTTGTGGCTGGGCAAAGCTGCAGACAGGAGCAAGGAGTCGGGCTCCTGGTTGAGACTGTCATACTACCAGCTGGAGGAGAGAACTAGTTACTCCACTTCTCTGAGCCTAGTGGTCTCTCCTACAAAATGGGGGTGGGCGTACTATCCCCCTAGCTCCCTGGGTGAAGATCAAATTAAATAATGGAAAATACTAGGCAAACTAGAAATGAACAGGTATTAGCCATTATTGTTATTAACTAGTCCTTGGCTCTCTGTACCATTTTTGCTGAAATGTCAATCTTTTCCTGACTCACCCAGTCAGTTATCAGAGTCTCTCAACAATGCTCCCAAGAACGTTTTCTGGGCACTTTGGGTGGGCATTTCAGGGTCTGAAGATTTTGTGGAGTTAAATTGAGCTGACGGGGGTCCTGGACCAGAGAAAGGTGATGGTGAGATATAAGCTGTATGGAGGGCTGTGGGAAACAGATGGTGAATAATGAGGTCTGTCCATGTACTCAAGGGACCAGAGGACACAGACCTTCCCATCTGGAGTGCAGACCTGTTCAATTTTTAAGAAAACCCAAAGGTAATGGCCCAAACATACCTGTTTCCATGGCCCTACACTCCCATTATTTCCATAGTGCCCTCAAATTTTAGGAAATGTATTTGGGCACCAGAGAAAGGAAAACGACATTTTCATTATACCAAAGAAAAGTTCTTAGAAAAGAAACCAGAAATTAGATACAAAGCCAGGATGGGAACCAGCCACAGGTTCCTTCTCAGAACAGTACAACGAGAAGAGGCTGAAGCTTGGATGAGTACAGAGTAGGAGCTCCAGACACTTACCCTTGCAGAGGCCCGAGTCCCGGTAGAATGATGGTGCGCACTGCTCCACACAGGTGCTGTCCTGGAGAACGTAGCCATCCATGCACTGCAGGCAGTCTGTCCTCAGAGGCCCGCTGCACGCATTGCAACTCCAATCACACTCTAGAAAGAAAGGCCACGTTAGACCAGCTTCCTTTCTGTCCTCACCTAATTTATGAGGATGCTGCCTGCAGCTGCAAGGGGGAAAGTGAGTCCCACGTAAGAGATGTCAGACAAGTGAGCTCTAGCGACTCTACTGATAGTAGCCTGGGCACTTCTCTGAGGTTTAGTGTTTCCTAATGATGTTAGACATGAGCGTGTACATGGATCGCTCCTGCTTTTGAGCCTGTTTGTCAGTGGGGCTGCTGAGGAGCCAAGTCAACTCGATCTTATTCCACAAGCCCCCAGTTCTTTATCCCTGAGTCACACATCTTCATGCAAAGCCTGCTGTAGGGAGTGGCCAATTTGCATAGTAGTATGTAAAATCTCTGCATGGGAAGATTTGTGGGGTATAAATACATGGTTTGTTGTGGGTAAGGTGCTCAGATACTTAAAATAATATTTATGAAAAAGGAACTATTAATGGTGCAAAAATAGTTTCTTTGTGTGTGTGTTTTTTGTGTGAGTGTGTGTTTGCATTTTTATCATCTATCTCATCCAGGGTATGGAAAAATAGTTGGTTTAATTTGAACAGCTAAGTTTGTCAGGGAACTGGTGCTAGAGATACTTTGGAATTCTAGAAATATTTGAGCAGAATTAAAATAAAGCATGGGTGAATTAGACTTGAGCCACAATAAATAATTAGGGACATGATGTTCTCTAAACATGGAAATCCTCATCCTTGAAGAGTATGTATAGACTCGAAATGTCTGATGCTTCTTCTCTACAATTGACCTATTCTAATTTCACAGGAATATTTTAGCATTTTTGGAGCTTAAGCCAAATCAGTGTAACAGAATAATATTGTATGCATTTTGAAATAAATTTTAATATATTTTAACTGAAAAAAAAAGAATCGTACCTATTGCATAAGGCTACTGTGAAGACTGAAATAATGAATGTAAAGAACTCAGCATTGTGCCTGACATATGGTAGCAGCTTCCTAAAGGTTGGCTGCTGAACTGTTTATCTTGGAGAAATATCTCCACTCAGTGCTGCCTCAGCCCACCTCCCCTCCCTGAGAAGAAGCTGGGAAAACCGCTCATTAGTCACTTTCCCTCTTCCTTAATGCAATATTTCTAAGTCCCAAGGAAGCAGGTAAACGTGCAAGACAGTACATGTGCTTCCAAGAAGATTTATAAAGTTAATCTCACTCATTTATTTGGCTGAATCAGTCCTGAGGGAAAATGACTAACATAGAGCCTAGAAAACTGCCAGCATGGTTACGAAATCATTTACAACAGGGAGGATTTGTGATAATCTTGTTTTTCACCGCAAACTAACAACCACTGGTTAGGAGGGAAGAAACAGAAAAGCTTCTTTGGTCTCGAGCACAGCAGACCACCTAAGTTGACAATCAAGGAGAATTTCCTGGAATGGATAGTGTGCAATGTGGCAAAGGCTTCAAGCATCCCAAGTTTACCGGTCAGATGTTTGACCTCCATATCTGAGCCCTAGCTTCCCTGGCAGAACTGGAGATACAGAGGGAAATGTGGAATGGAGGAATGGAGAAGGGAAAGAACAAGAGCAAGGAAAATCACCCTTGAACTCTGCTTTTCCTCTGGCTGAGCACTGCCATTCAAAGAGCAAAATCCCCTAGAATTCCAACCACCGGAGAACAAAGAAAAAGGCAACTGGTTTTTGACATTATAAATTCCTTGAGGACAGGGACTGTGTCTTCACTCATTTCAGTATGTTAAGCAGAGATGAACAAATCAGATACACTCCTGTCTGCATTAAGCATAGAGTCTAGCATTCTAGAGTTGTAAGTGCAAGTGCCTATGGGGCCCAGGAAGGTAGTGTAAATCTTTTAAATAGGCCTGGTGTGATGGAATAGGGAACAGTGAGGGCTGTGGTGACCTTCGGAGAGCATGCTCTATCCAACAGAGACGACAGCTACTCATGCCAACCTCCTGTCGCATTCTGGGAATGCAAATCCAGTTTTGCCAGATCTTCTGACTTAGAAAAATCTCAATTTTTATATGGTATGTTTTCTGATTTTTAAAAGGCAAATATTAAACATTTTGAAACACTGGAAGATTCGGTGGGCCAAATACAACCAGAGGGTTTTCACTTTGCCACCCCTGGTCTCGTTACTATTAACTTACACAATGGCTGGTACATAGTAGGTGCTCAAAAATATTTGTTTAACCTAATAAATATTTTTCATCTCCCTGCTTGGACCTTTAATACATAAATTAATGAGTGAATACATGAATACATACATACATAATGACTCTTGCTATCATCAGAGAAAGTCTAAATGCACGATGACAGTATTTTCCCAAGGTGGGGGATGAACATCTATAGTAAAGGGGCATCACTGGTAAAAGAACTGTACAATTCAGGACGAGCTTCACCTTTGCATGTCTTGGTGGAGAAGTCAAGATAGTACTGTGGGGCACAGTTCTCATTCTGACAATCCCCCAAGAGCAGGACCTTGTTTGGATCTCGGCAGGAGGTACAGCTGGCCTGTGAATCACAGCTTCCACAGTGCGGGTTGCATGCTGAGCAGAGAGGAAAAGAAAATGACCAGATGATTACAATTGCAAATACTGACATACTGATCAAACCTAGACAGATGCTGCAAAGAAACAAAGCCCAGCTCCAACCTGTTCCTTAATTATGGCTCATAGCCCTCCCCTGTGATCAACAGAAACACAGAATGTTAGTCTTATTTTCCAACATTAAAAAAAGATAATCTTATTTTCCAGAAAAGATAAATTATAAACCCACGAATGGAAATCCCACATTCAAATTGCCTTGTGATTCAGCAACAGAATTTATACTTAGCCCGAGATCTCTGAAATGATAGATAGTCCAGAGTTTTATTTGAACCTTACTTCTTTTTTAATATATTTTATTGATTTTTTACAGAGAGGAAGGGAGAGAGATAGAGAGTTAGAAACATCGATGAGAGAGAGACATCGATCAGCTGCCTCCTGCACATCTCCCACTGGGGATGTGCCTGCAACCCAGGTACATGCCCTCGACCGGAATCGAACCTGGGACCTTTCAGTCCGCAGGCCGACGCTCTATCCACTGAGCCAAACCGGTTCCGGCTGAACCTTACTTCTTAAGGAATCAAGCCCTCTTAGTTAATGACATAGATTCAGAGTTTATGTGATGTCAAGATTAAAATTAGGCATCAATTTTAAGATACAATGGACTTAAAGGTGACCTGGCTTATTGATTTGCCCAGTTGTGATTCTTAGCAACCATTTACTTAATTTAGGCATTGGGGGATGATTCCTAAATCTGATCATACTCCCATCTTCCCTAACTGAGCAACTGGCATTTCTCCATCTACTCAACTGTTCATGCTAGAAACCTGGGAGTCTATTTTGACAGCCCCTTTTCCTCACTCCCAATCACTCACTGGATCCTATTTATTGAACTCTCCTATGTAATTCTCAGAACTTTTTGCTTTTCTCCATATCCACACATGCCACCAATAGATCCAGCCATCATCATCTCCTGCTGGACTGCTACCATAGTCTCCTAATTAGTTTCCCTAAATCTAATCTGACCCCTTTGCGATCTATTTTCCATGTTTCCACCAGAGTAATATTTTCATTCATATTGCTCAAGCTCCAGAGGTCAATTTCATCTATACATTTATATTTTTCCTAAATCCTGAAAAATTAATTTCCAGCTTTCATTTCTACAAATATTGCTCCTCCATCATTCCCTTTATTTGTCTCACCTATAAATTTTAACTCACATATTTGAATCCTCTCAATATAATCTCCAAGTCTTTTGTCTTTAACTTGTACTCATTCTCCAGGCTCTTCTTCAAGAAGGCCTTCCCTGATTCTCCAGTCTAGACTAGGTCTCCCAGTTACTGTTTCTATAACACTCCATACATTTCTTTCACGCCACACATAACCATTTTCATTTAAGTGATTATTTAACATCTGTATCCTTTAAGCTAAAAGCTCCATAAAAGTAAAAGCCAGGTTTGCTTTGTTCCTTGCAAGAATCCCAGCACCTAACTGGTTATCTATCATCTTGTAGGTGTTTAGTAAACACTTGTTACACAAATGAAAGAAGCCAGATATTTTAATTATATACCCTCAAGCACTAGCATCTCTGCCTCATTCTGAAATCTTCTCTAAGTATAGGTCACAGGAAAAGTCTACAGAGTGATCATGGGAGTTTTAAATCTACGGGGTATCAAAGCATGAGGCACACTGCAGGAAAATCACCTCCCTGTGAAATAAAAAGAAAGAAAACCTCTTGTTTTACCTATAAGAAAAAGCAATGATATAACATATTCATTAGAGTATGTAGATTTGCAATGAAAGGCCCATAAAAATTCTAGATGGGAGTTTCAGATAATTTGGGAATAGTTAGAAAAGAATATTTTAAATGTTGGAAACTTACATGACAATAAACTTTTACCTTTTTTTTGTTTTAATAGGATTTCTACACGTGGCGCATCTTAATTTTGGCAAAGTGTTTGATAATGATCCCAAAGACAAACTTGTGAATACAAAGTAAAGGGGCCTAGTAGTTGTAGGTGGTTTTAAAGACGGTTGAAATGCATACTCAAATGTGATCAGGAAATCTTTGTAATTGGTAAAAGAAATGTCTAGTAGAGTAATATGACCAACTCATTATTTTTTACTTGATCAATATTTTTGTTAATAACTGTAATGAAAACAATGATGTCATGCTAATGATATTGAAATATGCCATATATACCTATATAGGAAACACAGTAGTTAAGTTTTACCAGCTGAAAGAATAACAACTCAAACCTATTTTGCCAGTTGAAGCAATAAACTTTATTTCAGATAAAATAAACAAAACTATAAGCCCTACATTTATGTTCCATAACAAATTAACACAAATAGAGGATGCAAAAGGCCTTAGACAGCAATTCCTATAAAAAAGGATCTGAAAGTTTTAGTTGATTAAAAGCTTATTACAAGTGTGATATGGTTACTAAGGAAATGAATACACTCTTGAGCTAAAGAGCCTACATGTAAACTAAATGTCACCTGGAACCCCCTACTTGATAGGGAACTGCAAAAAGAGGCCCAAATGCCAGTTCCTTGGACTACACAGCTGAGTTTCCTGTAATACTTCTTCAAGCCTCTGTCTGCCCCATGCTCTTGAATCCTTCTATGCAGTCTTTCATTTCACCTTGCCACCTCAATGTAAAACTCAGCCCCTTCACTGACTTCCAAAAACTATAGATTCACAATGAGCATCTTGAAACGTTAAGAGGATTTGGAGGGATGTACTAATGTCACACAGGCTTCCACTATTCCTATCTGAACCATTCTTCCTCTCTCATCTATCCCCTCACCCTTCTCCAAGGCAATCTGCAAATGTGCTTGTCTCACTCAGGGCAGTTCTGTACATACCAGAGCCCCTTAGGTCCTCAGCTTCCATCTTCGGAGGGATGTGGGTAAGGAGCATTTCTCTAACCTATGAGGTATTAGTCCTATTGCAGTCATGTTGGTATGACCACATCTGGAGTAGCAGGTGCAGTTCTCTAAGGTCACTAACTCCATGGATAATAGACAGTGAAGAAAGAGATGAGTGAACTAGTGATTAATTTACTTGCTCAAGGTAACAAAGCTAGTAAGTGGTAGGTAGGATTTGAACTCCTGACTCTTGAGCCAACTCTCCTAACCACTACTCTATAATTGCTCCAACATTGTATTTCCTAGGACATAAAAT